GAGTGTCGACTTTCTAAAATATAAAGTAAAGAAATCTTTGTGTCTTTAAATGTTTAAACGTTATTCTGCTCGTTTGTAAAGGCGAGCAGAATCAGCCTCATCACGATAAAAAAGCTTATCTGCTATAAACAGAACTGATCGTCGTCTAACTGTGAAAATAACAACGTGAAACATTTCTGAATCATTCAATGGAAACTGAAAGACCACCGTCTTTATCCCGGTGTCAATCACTTCCTTGTTCTTGGGAAACTGATCGTAGCTCAGCAGCTGACATTTGGAGCTGGAGGCTCTTCAGCGTTTTCAGTTTGGTCACCAAACTCACGCCAAATACTCCACTTTAAACTTCATCGACTTCACTCACTTTTCCACTGAAGCTCTTTCGTGCATCTGAAAGTGTCTCTGGGGCCATAAAAGCCGGAGTGCCAGCAGTGCTGGACAGCAACGCGTCGTTGCCCTCAAACTGGTTGCTGACTCCAAAGTCTGCGATCTTCACATGGCCATCGTCCCCGAGTAACAGGTTAGAGGGTTTGATGTCGCGGTGGACAATCTTCTGGTAGTGCACTGGGATGAAAAAGAAGAAACACAAAGAAGAGAGCGTAAGTTTCCCCTTTGGACACGTGGAAGCTTATTTCTGTTGTCTGGGATATTTCCAGCTTCTAAACACAAACTGGAGCTATCGTTGGAAAAACGCAGCCTGAGGATCGTCAGGTCGCATCTTTACTCGTGTACACGGAGGTTTGAGAACATGTCATTAAGGGCAGAGGTGGTGAAATGTGGTCTTTATGGGGAAGAACAGACTGTGGTGATTGTGTCATCATGAGGGCGGAGCTGCGCTTCTTCAGCCTGCGTCCTGATTGGTCACCAACATTGTTCAAACTGGAGGAAAATAAATACTCTCAGCAAATGGGAGGTTCCCAAATTCGGGAACGAGCCAAAATTGTTGGGAATTATTTCAATCTTTAACAAAGCATTGTGTTATAAAGGTTAATTATGTGGCTCAAGCTCAAAGAGGAATCGAACCCGTGACCTTTCACTGTTGGATGGTGGTGTAAACACCTGCCATGGTGGATGCAATGTAAAGCAAGCAAACAAACAAACAAACAAACATGAGCACAAATTGTAAATGTTGCATTTGAACAAATATTGTTTGGTGAACGATTTCACCACAGCTGCTGGTTCCAATCAATTTCGCTCCATTTGACTTCTTTAAATGTTACTTGTTGCCGACTGTAAACACACTAAAATACAACTGGATCTGTAACATGTAGAAGAAATGCTGCTTTACATAGTAGACATAAAGAGAGAAGCAGACGCGGACACACAACAGAACAACAGTGTTACATATGAGCTCATTATAATTATTGTTTCATCAGTTTCCAAAGTTCCACCTCAGGATTTGCAAAAGAACAACCATGAGGTATTTTAGGTACTGAAACAGTGTTTCAATATTACTTGTAATTAAATGTCAACATGAACACTAACGAGTAATTATAACTGTCAGCTGAACATGGTGACGGGAAGTTTTTCCTTTCAAACGCAGGGTTGTAATTATAAGGTTTAAAGAATGGAAATAATCAGTAGAAGCAGGTTGAACTGATCTGTAGTTGGAACAATTTGGAGTTTTGAAATCCATCATACTTAAAGTGGGAACAAACCCTAATGCTTAGCAAACAGCTGTGTAATCAGAGAAAGCTGCTTCATTAGCACTGGGTGACTGGGCTTTACTGGTGACTGTACTGGTACTTTTTGTCCCGTTGTTACCACCATGGAGCTCAGGATGACACTGCTCCTGAATGATTAAGATCATAGTCAGCTGAGATTAATCATCTGCAACACATGAGGCTTGGACGGGCAAAGCTGTATCACTTAATAGAAGCTGATAGTGACGGAGGAGACAGAGAGTCAAAGATGGAGAGGCTCCTCCCTGCTGCGACAGGGCGCCAATCTCACACGGGGCTAAAATGACTGCTTTGAATCTTTTAGTCACTTTGTGAGGCTGTGTGGTACTTACAGTATTCGATACCCAGGATAACGTCTCTGAAGTATAAGCGAGCTTGCTCTTCTGATAAAGGACCGTCGGTGGGCACCTCCATCACTGGGCTGCAAATCCACACAGACACACAAACAGGCAGTGTGACAGACAAGTGTGCAGATTATGTGTAACAGTTGTTTCACTGGTAGCTGTGCTGTTGACTCTAAATGTGACTTTGAGATGGATCCAGATTTAAGCACGCAGCTAAGCGTCTGATTGGATGACAGCAAGTCACACAGGAGGACACGAAGGAAGCTGTGATTTCAACAACACTGTGGCGCTGCAGACCGTGCTGGGAGCCACATAATCCCAACCATTCCAGGATTTTCCTGCGTCATGCTCCGTATTCCATAATGCACTGATATGGATGGATAATAGGGCTGCCACAAACGATTATTTTGATAGTCACTAGTCACCGATTAATTTTGTGATTAGTCGACTAATCAGATCATCAT